TTTTTTTTACTGAGCACACAGAAGTCCAAGGCAGGGAGTTACTTCACCTGGTGAAGAAGTTGGCACTAGATCTTAAGTATCCAAGTACTGGCATGGACCCTTTGCCTTGTCTCCAGCATGGCCAGAATTTACACTGGGTCCTAAGGATCAGAATTTCTATAGGCACATAGGGTGCCAGGTTCCAGAACAAATAACATAAAATGTACCTCCAAAACATTATGATAAATAAAGTCAGGCACAAAATGTCACATTTTATATGATTCCACTTATATGAGCTATTCAGAATAGATAAACTCATAGAAAGAGAAAACAGATTGGTATTTGCCAGCGGCTGAAGAAAGAGGAAAGTGGGTAGTAACTGCTTAATTGGCATAGAGTTTTATTTTGGAATGATGAAAATGTTTGGGAACTAGGTACACGTGGTGGTTGCTCAATATTGTAAATGTACTAAATGACACTGAATTGTTCACTTAAAATTTTTATGTTATTTTAATTTCACCTCAACAATTAATAAAAGATACAGAACGGTCCGTTTGCACACTAGACTGAGAACACATGTAAATCATTACATCAGGGAGAAAACAGTAACCCACGATGGGTTCAGTTTCTTGGAGCTGGCCCCATATTGGTCATAAAAGATTGGTTAGTAAAAGGATCTGGATGAAGTGGGAGGTGGGGTCTGGGTTCTGCAATGAAGCTACTAAGAGTGCCTACACTGACTAGCAGGGTGATGTGTAGGACCAAAACTGAGCAGGTCGTGATCTTAGAGAAAGGGAAAGGCGTGGAGTTGGACTTGGGAGGCTTCCTGGAAGAGGAGGTAGGGCCGGCTCTCTAGGACAAAGGGAAGGATATATTTATATATTTTCTTGCCGATGGGAAGGGATTGAGTGAAGTTCCGGCAAGACTGGAAACATCCTTCCCCTCAATCCCCCATCCCCCGGGACTCTCTCTCTCTGGCCCTTCCCTGCCTGTCTGGGGGCGCTCGGGGGCGGCCAGGACGCCCTGGCCCTCCAAGCCGAACACGCCAATGGGGGCGAGGCCGGCCGGACCCCCTCCCCCGCGCTGGGAGCGGAGGCGCGCGCCCCGTGGGGGGCTCCGGCAACCCTTAAAAGGAGCGTGGCGGCGCAGGGGCGGCCCCGCCCGCCGGGCCCCAGTGGTTATGAATTGGGCTGCAAACCTCAAGGTCAGCAGTTTGAAACTACCAGTTGTTCCACAGGAGAAAGATGAGGCTTTCTGCTGTACAGTTGCTCTGAGTTGGAACCAACTTGAGAGACTTAACCATAAGTGACTATTTCCAAAGACCTTTCTAGCCCAACAACAGGCCCTTCTAGACCAAAGATGAGAAGACCAAGGGAAAGGAGACTGACTGCAGCAGTGAGGTGGGCACCTTTTTCCCTCTAAACTGTAGGAAGGGTAGACTTTAGGCACTTAGCAGTCCCATTCAAGTAACCTCTAAACTAGAAGGGAATTAAGAATCATCTCAACCCCATCCTGCAGGCCATGAGAGTCTCTTCTAAATTATGAAGTGGCTGATCCTTGGATGCCTTTAATGTCAAGGGTCTTATTTCCCACAAAGACAGTACCTTCTGACTATGGACAGTTCAGATAGGGGTTCACCCTTACACTGAGTTAGAATCTATCTCTTTGCAGCTGACCTGAGGTTTAAAGACTAAAAAACTGAGAACACATAGAGCTAAGTAGCTAATTCATCATCACAAAGTTGGGAAGGAGCAGAGCTCAAGTTTATCTCCAGTTGAGCCTGTGGGGGTACACAGTTTGCCTTTCTTCCAGTCTTCCTATGAGACTGGTTCTCTCCCCACACACCCCATGGGAAACCAGTCTGTCCTCACAGGCTTGGGGCCAGGCCAGGGATGTGGTTGGGATTTGGCTCCCACTTTTTCTCCTCCTTGAATTCAAAGGAAAATCCTTGGCCATTTGCTCGGAGGATTCTGGCCAGAGGGTGTAATCTAAACAAATTCTTCTCAACACCTTAAAGTCTTAACAACACAGCTGGTTTACCATCATCTCTCCGAAACAAAATTAGGCTGAGTCAGTATTCATGTTCTGTCAAGAAAAAATAACTTTCCTTCTTAGTTGAGAAGTTATTCTCCTTGTGCTCTATGCCTGCTGACCTGAGTTTCCATGGCTTCTCTTGTGAGTAAGTGGGGTGATAGGGTAATTGTAATTCCCCACTCTAGCCTGGAATATACTGCAGAAGAGAGGCTCCACAGAGCTCTAGAAAGTACCAGGGCTGGCTGATTCTGACACTAGCTGATACCTGAGCCACAT